ACACCAACAATCCACATATATCTGGCAACACATAATTATGTTTATGAGAAATAAGGTGAAATGATTCAGATCATAAAGTAATAGAGGAATACTGATTCAGATCAGAAAGGAATAGGGCATGGGAGTACTTGGATATTATTTTCCCCACTGACAACAAAATACAGTCATTGTTCAGTATCTTGGGAGATTTGTTCCTGGATTCTGTATGTATACCAAAATCCACAAGTCCCTTATGTGAAATGGCATAATATTTGCGCATAACCTATACCTATCTCTCATGTACTTTATGTCTTGTTATTAAGTGCTGTTGAGTAAGTTCCAACTCAGCGACCTTGAGTAGAGTTTCCTAGGAGCGCCTGGTGCCTTTGACTCTTCAATCTTCAAACCAACCTTGTGTTCAAGTGCTTATCTTACAGCACCATACCGGCACCCCTGCTGTATGTCTAGATCACTTATGTTGTTGTTGTTAAGTGTTGTAGAGTCGGTTCAGGCCCATAGCAACCCTGTATAGGATTTCCAAGGAGCAGTTGGTGAGCTTGAACTGCCAACCTTGCAGTTTTAAACCGACTTTACAGTGCAGCACATTAACCCACAGCACCACACCAGGATGCCAGATCACTGAAAATACCTGGTAAATGGAAATGATATGTAAATAGCAGTTTGCACATCCTCTAAACACTGGCGGGATTGCTCTGACCAGTTAAGTGCTTTTATTTTACCCCTGGAGTATTTCGATCTGTTGTTGGTTTAATACACCACTGTTTGACCTGTGAATATAGATAGCCTGCGCTCAGTGATTTAACAGGTGAAATCCCCATTTTTCCTTCCGCGTCTTTCAGCTTAATGGTTCTGCGGGACTTGAAGATTTCTTTGCTGCTGTGGTTACTGCTTTTAAACTGGAAACAGGACGTTCCTCCCTATTTATACTTCAGGAAGCAAAGACCATTGCCTAGAATTGGCTTTGTTCTGAGTGGATCAGGGCTGGGGTAGGGCTATTTCTCTCCTAGACTTAGGCACCATACCATGCGTTTATTCTTCCATACCAGGACTGGACCTATTCCTATATATACTTTATTACTTCCTATTCTGGATAACACACTCATGCATTTCCCTTGAGACTACTGTATCTGAAAAAAATGAAGTATCTTTACATGAATAAAGATAGAGGATTTTAATAGATACAAATGTAGTTTAGTTTCTTTGTTACTATACAGACGTGTGAATTCACAATTCATATCTATTATCAGCTGAAAAATGAAGTATCTTTACATGCATAAAGATGGAAAGAGGATTTTAATAGATACAAATATAGTTTTGTTTCTTTGTTACTGTATAGAAGTCTTCATTCACAAGTTATATCTAATATCAGCTAAATTGAAGTTATTTATTCAACTGACTAATAGCGTTGCTGACCTCAAAAATGTTGGGGAATGGTGAAAGCATTGTTCATGAGTTGGCTCAACTGTAAAATAGAATTTATGTACTTCAATAAATTTGTTATGTACTTTTTACATCTAAGATAGGAATTAATAGCAAAAAGATAACAGTTGATATCGTTAGGAGACAGGGAAAATGCATTAGGAGGATACAGGTGTTTTGATAAATATACAGGAAGTATCCTTTAAGAATATGATCTAATATTCAGTACTGATTTTCAGTTGCTTTTAACATTTGCTCTTTATTTTTTTGTTTAAAGCATCATATAACCTAATACTTCGCACAGTTCTTAGTTTATTGTAGCTTCATGATAAATATTGGCTAGCTGAATGAAGAAATAAATTGATGAAGACTGAATGAATGACAAAATCATAGAGTTTCACAATGTAACTTTTTATGTTAACCTCTCAATTGAGATTTGAAAATGGAACAATCTCAATTGAGATTTGAAAATGGAACAATCTTTTAATGATTCAGATAATGTAGAAGGAAGATTGAGCTCTAAAAATTATTAATCAGTTGTAGTACTTATCTGGAATCTAAATGGAAAATAAGGAGTCCTGGTAATACAGTGTGATAAGCAATTGGCTGCTTACCACGAGACTCAAGTCCACCAGCAGATCTGCTGGAGAAAGAGGAGGCTGTTTGCCTCTGTGAATATTTAGTCTCAGAAACCCTAAGAAACCACTGTACTCAGTTCTAATAGGGCTCCGAACGGCAAGGGTCCGCAGTTCTAAACTACCAGCTGCTCAGCGGGAGAAAGATGAGGCTTTCTGCTCCAGTAAAGATGTACAGCCTCAGAAACCCTGTATACAGGATCGCTATGGGTCGAATGGACGGCACTTAACAACAACAACAACATAGGGTCACTAAGGAGCTCTGGTAGCGTAGTTATTACGAATACGGCTGCGAACTGCAAGGTTAGCAGTTCAAAACTACCAGCCTTTCCGCTGGAGAAAGATGAGGCTTTCTGCTCCCATAAAGATTTACAGCCTCAGAAACCCTGTACAGGGTCACTATGAGTCAGAACCGACTCCACGGCACATAACTACAGCAACAAATAGAGTCATTGGTGTGACGCTGAGGTCTAATGCGTCAGACTGCAAAGTTGTTTGAACTACAAGGTTGGTGGTTCAAGCTCACCAGCTGAGCCGCACTGGACTGCAAAGTTGTTTGGGCCACAAAGTTGGCAGTTCAAGCTCACCAGCCGCTCCTTGGAAACCCTATACAGGGTCGCTGTGGGTCAGAACCAATCCAGTGGCACTTAACAACAACAGTTAGGGTCACTATGAGCAGTATTCAACATGATGGTAGTGCATTTGCTGGGAATTTTTTGTTTTGTTTTAGGTTAAGCGGAAAATAGGAATTAAAATGAAGTAAGACAATAATTTGAAGTTAAAAGGAGCTTACATTTTGAGATACATGTTCTTTGTTGCTATTGTTGAGTGTCATTGAATAAGTTCCATCTCATAGTAAGTCTGTCTATAAAGGACTGCATAGTCCTGCACTGCCCTCACAGTTGTGTTTGAACCTATTGTTGTAGCCACTGTGTCTCCATTGCATTAACCGCCTTCCTCTTTTTCACTGCTCCCCTGCTTTACCAAGCATGATGTCCTTCTCCAAGGATGAAGGTCCCTCCTGATAACATGTCCAAAGTAAGAGAGACAAAGTTTTGCCATCCTCACTCCTAAGAAGCATTCTGTTTGTACTTCCTGTAAGACAAGATTTGTTCTTTTTTTCTCACAGGCCACGGTACTTTCCTTATTCTTTGCCAGCACCACAGTTCAAATGCAATTGTGCTTCTTCAGTCTCCTTTATTCATTGTCTCGCTTTCATATGTATATAAGGTGACTGACAGTGCTATACGATGGGTCAGGCACATCTTAATCCTCGAAGTGACATCTTTGTTTCTTAAAGCTTTAATGAGGTCTTTGCAGCAGATTTGTGCTATGTAATATATCCTGTGATTTCTTAACTGCTGCTGCCACGGGGCATTGATAGTAGATCCAGGTCAAACTGGAATCCTTGACAGATTCTCGTGATGTTGTTTATTGGTCCAGTTGTATTTTTGTTTCCTTTATGTTGAGCTGTGATCTTTACTGATGGCTGTAGTCTTTGATTTTTATCAGTAAGTGCCAAAGTGCCTCCAGTCCTCTTCACATTCAGCAAGCAAGCACGTCATCTGCATATTACAAGTTGGTAATGAATCTTCCTTCAAACCCAATTCTCTGTTCTTCTTCATGTAGTTAACCTTCTGATTATTTGCTCAACATACATATCGAATATGTTTGATGAAAATATACCAACTTTCTTGATTTGAAACCAAATAGTATCCCCTTGTTCTGTTTGAAGGACTAACTTTTGGTCTGTGTACAGGTTCCAAATTAAATAATTAAGAATTCTGGCATTCACATTCTTCGAAATGTTAGCTATAGTTTGTTACGTTTTGCATAGTTGAATACCTTTGCATCTTCTGCTGTTCATGGCTTTCAATCAAGATTTGATGTCCACAATGATATCCCTCATTTCCTGTCCTTTTCTGAAGCGGGCTTGAATTTCTAGCAGTTCCCTGCTGAGGTATTGCTGCAACTGTTTATAAATTTACCTTCCACAAAAATTTATTTTCTTGTAATATTAGTGATATTGTTTTATAATTTCTGTATCCTGTTGGATGGATCACCATTCTTTGGAATGGGCACTTATTTCTTCCAAATTTCTTGGCATAGACAAGCAAGCTCTTCTAGATTTTTCATCTATTTGTTGCTGGAACCTTGTTTTTCTGCCAATGCCTTCAATGTATCTTGGGCTTCTTCCTTAAATACCATCAATTCTTGATCATATGCTACCTCCTGAAATGTTTGCATGCCAACCAATTATTTTTGCTACATTTATTTATACCTCCCAGCTTCTTTTGAAATTTTCTATATTGTTCAATATTTTGCTCATAGAATTCTTTAGTATTGCAACTTGAGGCTTGGCTTTTTTCTTCAGTTGTTTCAATTATTAAGAAATGCTGAGCATGTTTTTCCTTAATTGAGGAATAATGACATGGTTAGACCCAGAATATGGTATTTTAGGACTTAATTGTCATTTTATCCAGGTTATTCTAGAATTCAGCCAAGTAGAATTTTTTTTTTTTTTAAACTTTCACAGAAAATGAATCAATTTTCATTTCTGGATTATCATGGATTCTAATTGGATGAAATTGAATAAATAGACTTCGCTATATATCATCTGTTGGATTTAATATATAAAAGGCTTTCCCATATAGTTTTGATCCATGTAATTAATAACACCTGTTGATTTCAAGAGTTAACTAAGGCTTATGAGAAACAATATGGAGTGTTGTATCATACGGAGATGATTCCCCAATTTGCCTTTTGTTCGTGTGTAAATTATTCACTTTCTGTAAACTTAAGTTGCAGATGATGTAAAGTAGAGATGATAACCTTTCTTGAGAAGTTGTTGAAATGCTTAGCACAGGATATAGTAGTTATTAGTAGGATATAGTAGGTATTCAGTAATTAAGATAAACTTTTTTCTCACTGTATTTTCTTCTACAGCATTCCCTACAAATAAACCAGATGAAGATGCAAAACATGTAATTAAGGTGGTAAGTATTGCTTTTAAATTTGTCTTCCTAAATTTGGTATTTTTATCTTCTATTCTCTTCACTTTAGTGTTGTAAAAATGAAACAATTTGGTTTTCATAATTATCAATAAACTGACTGATATTTTTATATTAAATATATATCTTGAAGTGTCTTCTGTATAGCCATCTTGCTATCTATTATCTGTCTACTATCATCTCTCTGTCTGTCCATCTCTTGATTAGATAACTATATTAAGTATATATGGTAAAGTCCTTAAAGGCTGGGATAGAGTTTTATTTCTGTGCATCCCTGTGCCAAGTACAGTAATTGAAATATAGCTGACAACTCAATAAAGGTACTCAGCAAAGGTATTATGTATGAGTGATCCACCAGGGTAATTTGTAGCGCATCCAACTTGATATATATATATATATATATATATATATATATATATATATATATATATATATATATAGTATTGACACGCACACATATTCAATAACCTCATATGCATGCAAAAGCTGATGGAGAATGAGGAAGACCATAGAAGTATTGATGCTTTTGAGCTGTGGTGTTAGAGAAGAATATTGAAAGTTCCATGGGCTTCCAAAAGAACCAATAGATCTGTTTTGGAAGAAGTGCAGCCAGAGGCCAGGTTGGACAAACTTCAACTCTCAAACTTTGGACATATTGTCAGGAGGGACCAGTCCCTGGAGAAGGATATCATGTTTGGTAAGGTGGAGGGTCAGAGAAGAAGAGGAAGACCCCCAACGAGATTGATTGGCCAAGTGGCAGTATCATTGGGCTCAAGCGTGGCAACAGCATTGAGGTTGGCCCAGGCACTGTTTCGTTCTGCTGTGCATAAGGTCGCTATGAGTCGGTACCGACTCGATGGCACCTAACAACATATGTATATGTATATATATACATACATACATATATATGTGTGTATATATATTATATATATTTATATACACATTGTGTATCAAGCATACAATCCTCAGTGCTTTAAGTGAATGTTTTTCATAAGAAGACTAGTTTTTCAATTACAAGATACAGGAGAAACACTGGAAGTTAGTGGCTGCTCGGCTGCTAACTAAAAGTATGGCGATGTGAGTCCATGTGCAGCTGCACAAGACAGAGATGTGATTGGCTGCTTCTGTAGAGATTTACCACCTTAGAAACTGTATTGCACAGTTCTAATCTGTCCTAGGGGGGATCTCTGTGAGATGAGATGAACTTAATGGCAATCGGTTTGATTTGGGTAAGACGTACGGGGACAACAGTCACAATATATTACTTTTAAAGTGATGTTCTTCAAGTTTATTTAGCGCTTTTCTGAGACTTTTAGTGACAATCTGGGGCCTATGTTATATAAACAGTTATCCAAGTGCTATTTTAAATTACATATGTACAGTCATAGTAACTATTGAAATACCATTTCTAGCATTAATTTCTTTCTTAGTAAAAGTAATGATTCTCTTTCTTTTGTAGGAATATCAAGAAAATGGTCCATTATTTTCAGAACTTAAATTTTATCAGAGAGCTGCAAAAAAAGACTGGAGTAAGTAAAATTAGTAAAGCGAGCTACTTTCATATATATATTTGCTTAGGTGAGCGTTACTATGAGATACCTTTAAAAAGTCATGGGAAAATTCCATTCTCTTTTAATTCCATTTTCCATGAACTTTTTGAAGCCCCTTCATATTTTGGTCTTTTTCTAGCCTAGAAAATTCTTCTCAATAAGAAAGTTTATTGTAAAGTGATACAGTTAACAGCTATAACATGGAAAAGCAAGACAGATGGTGTAAAAATCTTGGTATGGCATACATAATATATTTTAAGTCAAAGTTGTTTCTACTGCCTTATATAAACTGTTGCGGTGTTGATTTAAGCTAAGAAGAATTATCTAAGTGTGAAAGATAGTAGAATGAAATTATTATTCCTTATATAAGAACCCATTTGGATAAGAAAGATATGAAGAAAACACATGAAAATGGTCACTAGATGGATAAACAAATGGAATGATCTTAGAATGGATTAAGGGGAAGAAAAATGGTTAAATATTAAAATGATTAAGGAAATAAATGAGTTAAAAATATTAGAAACTTGAATGTTGGAAAACTCATTTAAGCCATATCTCAAATGCAAGAAATAACAGGTTGGAGGATCGGAATATGAAGTGAATATGAGCAGAGGTAGAGAAGACTAGAAACATAAATATTTTCTGATAATAGATGGCCTCATTGAAGGATTATAGAAGTTGAATTGAATAATGGCTGTATTATAGTAGACATATTTTGTATCATGTTTAGGAAAAAGAATAATGGTCTAGCTTCAATAATTAACTTTGTTTTCTTTAATAAACCTAAACATTAAGGCTGTAGTCTTTACTAACTGCTTAGACTATGTCAGAGTGACGAATAGAATCCATTAAACTTGATTGCTTATCAGTAGAGCTGTCTTAAACATTAAACATATATAGTAGAAAAGTATTAAATTAAGTATGTTACTTGATTGTTTAAGTGAATTTTATATTTTAAGCTAAAGTTAATCAAAACGATTTCTGTAGAACATGATTTCAGAGTAAGAAGACTCTTCTGCCCACTTTCTATTTTTCAGATTACCAGTGCTTTAGGGCTTGAGAAATAGGGAAGAAAAAGCCATTTATCTACTTACTGTTCCTCTGGTTGTTGTTCAGTGCTGTGGAGTCACTTTTGACTCATAGTGAACCTGTTTAGGGTTTCTGAGGAGCAGCTGGTAAATTTGAACTGCTGACCTTTTGGTTCACCCCAACCTTGTGGTCTAGTGCTTATCTTGCTGTGCCACACCAGCATTGCTTTCGTAGTCAGTCTGTATTAAACTGAGAAATTATCTAGCATGTGCTGTTGTTGTTTAGGTGCCTTTGAGTCAGATCTGACTCAGACTCACAATGATCCTATGCATAACCGAGCAAAACATTGCCTGGTCTTGACCCATCCCCACACTTGCACCTATTACTGTTGCTACTGTGGCAGTCCATCTTGTTGGGAGTCTTTCTCTTTTTTGCTGACCCTCCATGTTTCCAAGCATGAGGTCCTTCATCTCGGACCGGCCTCTCCTGATTACATGTCAAAGTATGAGAGACATGAGGTTTCACAATCCTGGCTTCTAATGAGCATTTTGACTGTACTTCTTCCAAAACAGATTTGTTTGTTCTTCTGGCAGTCCTTGGTACTTCTAATATTCTTCTCCAACGCCATAATTCAAATGCATTGATTTTTCTACCATTTTCTGTATTCATTGTCCAGGCTAGCATTCAAATGAATGAATGTACTTTTTGATGAACAAAGACATTTATGTATATTCTACCAATGCATCTCATGTATTTACTACAAAGTAAATACTGAGTAATGAATTTCTACAAAACAGAAGCAGGATTATTAATGGGCATGCATTCTTTAAAGGTTCAGATTGCATCATCCTTCTCTCTTAGGTTGGGAATATGTTTCCTCATTTCAAATTCATTAATATACCGTTTCATGCAGCTCATGGAGTCCTGGCTTGGTTCTGTAGGATACACACTGGACAGCTAGCTGCGACGTTGGCAGTTAAAGCCATCAGTTGCTCCTCAGAAATCCTATACAGGGTCACAGTGAGTTGGAACCAATTCAGTAGCACTTAGCACCATGACTACCAATACATTTCATAACACTGTGTCTTTTTGTTGCAAATTGGTTTAATTAAAATTTTTCTTTTATGTGTTTTGTGTTAATTATGGTGATAATAAATAGACTTAGAAGCTAGTGAGTAGATAGATGTGTTTGTTGTTACTCTCTAGAAAGAGCTTATTACCATTTAGGTTAACTAAATAAGTCTCAGCATCAAAACAAATGTAAGAAATCGTTTTCAGATAATAGAAACTTTTTGTATTACATTTGTCTTTGCAGTCCAAAGATGGATAGCACTCAAGCATCTGGATTATTTAGGAATTCCTCAATTTTGTGGATCTGGTCTGACTACATATAATGGAAGAAGGTAAAATATAATTATTATTATCAAATATTTCTCTGTAACCATTCCTTATAGATTCCTGGTATGGCGCTATAGGGTAAGCATTGGACTGATTACAGTGGTTCAGACCCACAGTTGCCCATTGGAAATCTTGTACCAGGTCACTATGAGTTGGAACCAACTCGATGGCACTTAACAATATATCAGAATGTGTTTATGAGTATGTATACACAAATAGATATAGAATTAAGGCTGACATGGATTGAGGGGGGAAAAAAAGGGACAGAGGGCACCACACAGAAAAGGAAAGGAAAGAGTGCATTTTTAAAATGCACGTGTGTCATGATGACATTCATGTATTTATATAAAAAAGAGGCTTATAAATGCATGGAGAAAGAAATTTTGATTTTATAAGGTCAAAAAACAAATATAAATGAAATTTTCTTCATGTACAAATAATGTGCTCAAGGTCATATCGTGAGAAGGTGATGGAGCCAAAATGTATTACTTTTAAGACTATGGCATTTTAAAAGGCTCTTCTGTGTTCATGATCTTCAAGTGTGAATGGTTCAACACAGCAATCTCTCCTACTTTAGCAATAACTACAAAGTAAATACTGAGCAGTAACTTGGTAAAAGAACAGCAGACTTATAAATGGGTGTGCATTCTCTAAAGGTTCAGAATGCATCAGCCTTCCCTGCCTGTTAGCTTGGGAGGATTTTTCCTTGTTTTAAATTCATTAATTGACAGTTTCAAATATCTCTCTATCAGGACTCTCTCTATTTGATGCCTCTTTCTTATAGTTACAGATTTATGGTAATGGAAAGACTGGGAATAGATTTACAGAAGATCTCAGACCAGAATGGAACTTTTAAAAAATCAACTGTCCTGCAGTTAGGTGTCCGCATGGTAAGAAGGAATGGCTTATCTCACATGATCCACTTTGAGATTGTTTATTTGTTAAAATATACACATCTTTGTCCTTTGTGGAATTATCTGAGAATAAAGGATCACTGCCCTAGAATTGTCAGCTACTGAGAGTACAGGCTATTTTGGTGAAATTGATAACATTGGGCTCTGTAAGTGACAGAATGTGCCAGGTTTGGCATTACAAACTCAATTAGGCATTGGTTCTACAATCTGATTTTTTTTTTTTTTTTTCCTCATAGCTTTGTTTTACATGTCAGAACAAATTTTTTCTGCTATAAGAATAACCACTCTTTTGTCAGTTATATTTATAACAAAGCAAATTATGGCAAAATAGATTATTTCCCATACTGAACATGTGACGGTATGGGGGTGCTATAAAATTTTTATTATGAGTTTGGGATGGCAGAAGTACTTAGTTGTGGCAGTGAATAAAATGTACTTTGCCAAATAAGAAGCAATGAAATCTTAATGGCACCCATGCACACATTTTGTTTATACCACATATTCGTCTTATCTTGTTTGTGTTTGGTTTGCCTAAACCTCATTTTAATTTTTCCATTTTAAGGAGAGTAAAATTACTGATGCCAAGTTGGGATGTGGCAAATACAGCTTGTTAATTTATGTTTACCCATTTATCTACCCAGCAAATGCTTATTGAGCAGTATTAGCTGTATGTATCATGCTTCAAAGATGAGGGCTAAGGAGTTGTCCACTCCTATACAGAGGGAGATTACCTTTCCCTGTGCTCATGGACGTGATGTTTTAGTCTGGGTTCCCCAAGACTTGATTTATACTCATTTACACAAATAACATGCACCTTCTACTTTTGTTTGCCAACTGCACTCTCTCCCTGGGAGGTATATTTGTAAAAGCACTGTGCTAATTTTTTTTTTTTTTTACAGTAATATGTAAAAAAAAAAAAAATTAAAAATTGGCATACCAGACATTTATGAAAATACCTTCCGGAGTGGGGGATGGGAGAAAGACGTGGTTGGCAAACAAATGTATAAGATGTGTGATATTCATGTAAAAATGCAGTATATGATGATAATAGCAAGATTATTTCACTGTACATCTCTTTGGCTAATTCTGTTCTCCTTTTTATAAGTGATTTGGTCAATGAGCTCACAAGAGCATAGACAATGTTCACTTCAGCTTGCTTCAACTAGAGGTTCATTGAAAACATTTGATATATGAGCATCATTTTATCAACATATTTAAAGGATGATCAGCCCAGAGTTTAGCACAGGGTTATTAACCTATAACCTAAATCATATATTTTCGTTTGCCTTTGTTAATATGAAAAAACAACATATGCAGTTCTATATTAAAAATGTTCAGGTTGATGAGTTCTAAATACACAGTAGTATAACCTGGTATCATTTATTTATTTTCACAGTTGGATGTACTGGAGTATATACATGAAAATGAATATATTCATGGCGATATAAAAGCTGCAAATCTACTTTTGGGCTACAAAAATCCAGATCAGGTAAACACATTATTAAGTATTTTGCTTTCAGTAAAGGACTTCAATGTACCATACTGAGTTATTCAAAAAACAAACTCCTAACCAAGAAGACTTTACAGAGGAGAGTTTAACATGGTGGACATTGTAATTCATTTTACCTTGCTATTCTAATTTAATTCTTGCACTATATGATTGAGCCCAAGGTGCATTGAAGGAATTGGCAAAGAACAAGGCACCAGGAATTGATGGAATAAAAATTGAAGTCTTTCAAGAAAATAAGATGGCACAGGAGGCATTCACTTATCTATGCCAAGAAATTTGGAAGACAGCTATCTGGCTAACTGATTGGAAGAGATCTGTATTTGTGTCTGTTCCAAAGAGAGGTGACCCAACAGAATGCAGAAATCATCGGACAATATCTTTGATATCCCATGTGAGTAAAGTTTTACTAAAGGTAATACAGAAACGGATGCAAGCATACATTGACAGATAACTTCCACAAGTTCAAGCCGAATTCAGAAGAGACCGTGGAATGAGGGATATCATTGCTGATGTCAGATGGAGCTTGCTTGAAAGCACAGAATACCAGAGGGATGTTTACCTATGCTTTATTGACTATGCAAAGGATTTCAATTGTGCGGATCATGCATGACAAGCTATGGACAACATTGTGAGGTATGAGTATTCTGGAACACTTAATTGTGCTCATGAGGAATCTGTACATGGACCAAGAGGCAGTTGTTTGAACCCAACATGGGAACACTGAAGAGTTTACAATTAAGAAAGGTGTGTGATAGCATTTTATTCTTTCACCACACTTAGTCAACGTGTATGCTGAGCAAATAATCTGAGAAGCTGGGTTATATGAAGAAAACCATGGCATCAGGTTTGGAGGAAGACTCATTAACAACCTGCAATATGCAGTTGATACAACCTTGCTTGTTCAAAGTGAAGAAGGCTTAAAATATTTACTTATGAAGATCAAAGACCACAGACTTCGGTATGGATTGCATCTCAGTGTAAAGAAAACAAAAATCCTCCCCACTGGACCAGTAAGCAACATTCTTATCAACAGAGAAAAGATTGAAGTTGTCAAGGACTTCATTCTTCTTGAATCAACTATCAACACTCATGGAAGCAGTAGTCAAGAAATCAAACGACGTATTACATTAGGCAAATCTGCTGCACAAGACCTCTTTAAAGTGTTGAAGAGCAAAGATGTCAGCTTGAGAACTAAGGTGCACCTGACCCAAGCCATGGTATTTTCAATAACCTCATATGCATGCGAAAGCTAGACAGTGAATAAGGTAGACCATAGAAGAATTGATACTTTTGAGTTATGGTGTTGTAGAATATTGAAAGTGCCAAGGGCTGCCAAAAGAACCAACAGATCTTTGTTGGAAGAAGTACAGCCAGAATACTATTCTGGGGCCACAATGGCCAAACTCTGTGTCTCATACTTCAGACATATTTTCAGGAGGGACCAGTCGCTGGAGAAGGATATTATGTTTGGTAAGGTGGAGGGTCAGAGAAAAAGAGGGAGATCCCCCAGCGAGATGGATTGGCAAAGTGTCAGCATCAGTGGGCTCAAGCGTGGCAACAATTGTGAGGTTGGCCCAGGACTGGGCAGTGTTTCGTTGTGTTTTGCATAGGGTTGCTATAAGTCAGTACCGACTCTGTGGCACCTAACAACAACAAGAAGAAGATTGAGTTATTACAGTGAGGTAACTGAGAATCAGAGGAGTCAAATAATTTGTTTATGGCCACATAGTTGAGAAGTGGCTGAACAGAAATTTGAACTTTTGATAAACAAAGGTACCCTCAGAATCCAATGAGAAACAGCGAGGATTTTACAGCTGGAAAAAAAAACAAAAAACTGTCATGTTATCTCTTCTTTTCCTACTATTTGTTGTTGGTATGTGCTGTTGAGTCAGTTCCATTTCATAGCTTTTCTGAGCACTGGCTAGTGAGCTTGAACCTCAAACCTTGTGTTTCAAACCGACTTTGCAGTCTAGCACATCAACTCACAGTGCCACACCAGGATTCCTTCCTTACTATACAACCAATTAAATTTTAAATAAAGCTTCGCTTCCAATAGAACTTTACATGGTGATGCAGAGTGCTCTATTTGGGTAGCCACTGTGGTAGCCACTGCCCATGAGGCTGGTGAGCACCTGAACTGTGGGTAATGTTACTGAGGTTTGGAATTGTATCACATGTATCAGACAGCACAGGTTTAAAGAGTTAAAAAATTGAGTCTATTTAAAGAAAAATGGTAAAAAAAGATAAATTTGAATATTTAACTTATCTTTGAGTGGAGAAGGAAATTTCTAAGTAAAAATGCACCAAAAAAAGTACAAAAAAAATTAATTGGTTTTAAGTCAGAAGTGTATATATATTTGGGGAACACGGTGACATTATAGTATAAACACTGGACTGAGAACCACAAGGTCAGCAGTTCAAGCTTTTAGCTTGAATGAGGCTTTCAGCTCCCACTAAGATTTAAAGTCTTGAAAACCCTGTACAGGATCGCTATGAGTTGGAACCAACTCAATGACACTTAACAACAAAATAGCATTTATTTTTTAAAACTTACAAAATAATGAAAGACAAATAAATGAGAAATGGGAAGCATACGTATCACAAATATTTGTTTAACTAATACATTCTATATATATTTTAGAACAAGAATACAAGAAAACCAATAAAAACAGTGATTAAAAAGAATGAATGGAGAAAAATACGGCCATTCAAGAAACTGAAAAACGTAACCATCACTAGAACCAAAAAAATATGCAAATAAAAACAGTAAGGTACCATTAAAAAAAAAAAAAAAACTTATCAAATTGGAAAAGTCTAAAATAATAATCTGATAATATTGAGGCTGATGAGGGTGCAGGCACTGGTACAATGCCAGTGGGAATGTACGTAAATTAGATGGGAAAAGAAGAATAAATTAAGTTAATGGAAGGGCAATTAGGCAATATATGTTAAGAGCCTTTAAAAATCTGCATACTTTTTTTAAGGTCAGGTCTATTGAGGTATAAATTACAAATAGTAAAATTCATTCTTTTAAATGTACAGTGTGATGAGTTTTGACATATGTGTGTCTTAAAACCACCACAGTCAAGATAGAGAACGTTTTCATCATTTCCAAAAGTTCTTATTTCCCTTTGGAGTCAGTCACCTTCTCCTCCACCCAAACCCTGGCAATAATGTGAACTAATTTCTGCCTCTCTAGTTTTGCGTTTTCATTAATGTCATAAAAGTAGAATTATACAATGTGCACTCTTATGTGTCTGATTCCTTTCCACTGAGTATAATGCTGTTGCGATTGCTCTGTGTTAAAGTACTTTGTTGTTTTTGATTGCCAGGTAGTATTCCACCAAATACTGCTATAAGTTATTTACCTGTTGATCGACGTTTGAGATGTTTCTAGTTTTTGAAAATACTGAATAAAGTTGTTGTATGGATTCATGTTCAGACTTTGTGTGATTATTGTTAAGTGCCATTGAATATGGATGCCTGGCATAGTATAGTAGGATCAACTCTGGACTGTGAAGCATTCTCAGTTCAAACACACCTGCTGATCCTCAGAAACTCTATACAGGTTATGAGTTGGAACTGACTCAGTGACACTTAACAATAACAACATAGGGATTTTGAGGCTTAAAGTCTTCTCAGGAGCAAAAAGCCTCATCTTTCTCCCGTGGAGCTGCTGGCACACTCAAACCTTGTGGTTCGCCATCCAGTGCTTATCGTATGTAGCCACCAGGATTCCAGACATTTTTATAGGCATCTATTTTTATCTATTATAGATAAATAACGAGGAATATAGTTTCTGGGTCATTTGGTAAGTGTATCTTTTACTTTAAAAGACACTGCCAGAATCTTTTCAAGAATGATATATCATTATTTATTTCCATGTGCCATATTTTAAAAAAATGTTTTATAATGAATTATGTGATAGTTTACATGGGAGAACATTAGTTTTGCATTCATCCTATCGGATATCATTTCGTTGCCATGGTTACAATCTCCTCCATGCATCATCAACCAACCAAAGGGTATACCCTGCAAGCCTGCCCCCCAGTCATCAGAACACAGCCCCTCTCCCTCTCTGGGTCTAAAGCCCCCAGCTGCTCCATCTCTCCATGCCATCATCTCTGCCTCCATCTCAGGCATCACCGCTTCTCTGGGTAGGGTCCTGCTCTCTGCTCTTCTCCCTTGATGATCCCAGGGACCTCCCGCTCCTAGCTGAAAAGTTAATCACTCCCCTCCTGGGTACAAAACATCTACCTTTACATTTCCAACCCTCACAAGCAGTCCTGATAACAATTATTCACTACTGTATCACAAGAGACCTATCAGCACTTCCTTTCATCAGCCCCGCCTAGATATATTGGATACTACTCAGTGGAGATTCTACCTTCCTCCACACCCTCTGGATCTAGGTTCCCTTTTGAAAGCTTGTAAGCCAGTCACTTCTTGCCTTTGTAGCCCCCCCCCCCCACTTCAGGTAGCCAATGTCCAAGTTGCCCATCCCTGTCTACTCTGTGTATGGAGGGGGTGGGTATGATCCTTGTTGTAAAGATTTGTTCCTTCTTTTGAGCTACTGCATCCATAGGTGTAGGTCAAGTTCATCAAATTGTATCAGATTACTCTTTTGTTCTCCTCTTTCTTCTTCTAGTTGAGCTCTGCTCATCCAGTCATTGAAGCCAGGTCAAGTGGGTTGTATCTGCAAGCGTGGGTATTTTTGTGCATCTGCCCTCTCTTCTTATCAGCTAGATGCTTCACTCACCACTCTAGTCCTCTGTGGCTATGTCACTGACTCTGGATCCAAGAGTCCGCAGGTCTTGCATCACTGCTGGCCAACCAGGTCTCCACCCGGGTTCACAGGAGTCTATTAAACGTTGTAGGACTTACTGCAGCTTCATTACTCTTTTTCCCTCATTTACCTTTATCAGTGATGAATGTGGTCACCAATCAGAGTGTGTATTCCCATTGAATCTTAGTCTTGG